CTCCCTAGTTTTGGAGTCTTGAGTTTCCGGACTTTGACAACATTCGAGGACGGACAATATTTGAATCATCTTGCTGCCGACCATATACTTACCTACTCCCTCCGTTCCTAAATACTTGTCTTTCTAGAGATTTCAAAAGGTGACTACATACGGAGCAAAATGAGTGAATCTACAGTCTAAAATATGTCTATGTACATCCGTATGTGGTAGTCTATTTGAAATCTCTAGAAAGACAACTATTTAGGAACGGAGGGAGTATGTAGCATGGATGTGTTCGTCTTAGGAGCTGTTCGTGAAGCCTCCAGCTCCGCCAGATTCAAAGATCCACAGAGTACCTATTTCGCGGCTCCTAAATTTAAGCTGCGGCCCGGCTGCTCCGGGAGCGGAGTTACGGAGTGGGAGGGACTCCGAACAGGCCCTTAGTATCTACTCTCTCCGTTCCAAATTACTTGTCGCGGTAATTCCCGATGGAGGGAGCACGTTAGATTTAACTGGTTATTTCGTGGATTTATTGTGTGCTTTCTCAGTGGTTGAATATAGATGTATACATTTTCGCAAAAGAAGAAGAAGAATATAGATGTATACATGCTCTTGTACGGACTATACAACGAGAGTTAGTGCACATACATTACACTTCCAACACTAGTTCCTCTAGATCCGAAAATCCAAATCTGAGCCCGAGCTCATCTGCACCTGCGCTCACCAAAAAAATCAAAATAAATACTAAAAAAATTCAAAAAATTCCAAAAAAAATTGGGGTGGTGGACAATTTGATGCGTGAGGTGCGCCCCAATTTTCAAAACATTTGGACTTATGTGCAGCTCTCAGCAAAAAAGACAAATCGGAGGTCTGTAAAAATGTGTACTGTTCATATACTGTTTTGGTCTGATTTGTCTTTTTTGCTGAGAGCTGCACATAAGTCCAAATGTTTTGAAAATTGGGGCGCACCTCTCGCATCAAATTGTCCACCACCTCAATTTTTTTCGGATTTTTTTGAACTTTTCTGAATTTTTTACGAATTTTTTTTTGAACAGGTGCAAATGCACCCGGGCACCGAAACGCCGCACTCAGTCAACCTTTAACATTCTCCCTTATTTCCATGATGTTTTTTGTTTTGTTTTTGCAAATATGCATAAAAATAGAATATGTTTGATGCTGGCAGAAATTAGCCGATAATCATATAATATAGTCACTTTTCATTGGAGACCATCATAGGATTTTTAAAACCGAACATTTATGCTCTTGCAATGTGTCAGTAGTTTGCACTGGTTCCCTCGCAAAAATATATAGCTTGCATTGGTTGGTCATTTCCCTTTTCTTTTTTGCCTTGTTCTGCCTGTCCGAAAGGGACTTCACTATTCTGTGTGAAAATTTTGTTGATGCCTTTTGCATTGGAGTTGGACAACTCTAGTTTGAGTTTTTTTATGGAAATTAGTAGATATGGTACATGTGCCACATCATTTGTGGTCTTGGTTAAAATGTAGATGAACATGGGAGATTATAGAGTCGCATATAAAAGCTATCAATTTCCTAGTAAAATTCCCCAAGTTATTCGATTGAAAGTTGGATTTTAGATCGGTTGAAAGTTCTGCTTGTTATAGTGGAAACCCGTGTGCAAACTAGACGAAAGTTGGTGTTGTAAATATAAAAGTTGAAGCGGTTCGGTATTCTACAATACAAACTTGATGTCCATCAAGTTGAAAGTTGGTCATGAGGTGCAAATCAATCTCATTCTCTCCCTTTTTACAATGTTTTCCTTAGAGGTTGGATTTAAAATGTAGCTGTAATCACCTGTAAGGATGAGCGCCTACAAATTTGCCTTGCGCCTATGCAAGACTAGGCTCTCGTGGAACCGATGCTTCTACTTAGTCATCATAGACGATCAAATCCATTTGAGAGATGCCTTTTGTTGATACCAACTCCCCACAACTCAAGACCAGGGTCGGCCCTATGTAGGGTAAACGACTTAACGACAAGAGACCATGAGGGGTAGGTGCCCAGGATGGGGATTTGATTGGTTTCTTTTTTCTTAACAGGCTCTGCTATGTAATCTCTCCATTCTTTTATGTAAGGAGTATTATTTTTGGCACAATGACCAAATCACTTAATTATAGATAAATTAGGATAAAATTATCCTTGGCTAATTTGTTGGTTAGCGGCAAATAAATCATTTGGGCCACCAAAGGAAGAGATACACATAATTTGGGAGTAGCTTCCAAATGGCTCAACAGATCACAGCGGATGTGTGGACGGCTTCTCGCCACCTTGGGCCTCCTTTCACAATGTAATATGCATTTCTTCTAATTATTCATAATTCGTTGTAAGCCGCTAGTCTTCCGTCGTCGCCCCTTGCATCTCCACCCCGTCTTGCAGGTCTCCATCGATCCCCGCTCGTAGTCGCCGCCCAAAGTACCCACTCGTAAAGTAACATTCATGCCTTTCAGCGATGTGTATTCAGTGGAATGAGACATTCCCATTGACTATGAAAGCGTATGTAGCGACTTGATCAATCTCAAGATGATGTGCCGGCTCAGTCTTTTGAAGGTGCTCATAGGGATAGGATGTGCGTGCGTGGGTGCGTTCATAAGCATATGCCTATCTACTATGTTTTGAAAGAAAAAGAAAAACTCTTCTCCAAAGTTACGCAAGGAAAAATTCGAAATGGTGGAAAAGAAATGAAAATTACTCTTATACATTTTATTTTAATCTGCCATTTCCGTCCGCATCCCATTCCCACCCCAGCAAAGGAAAAACAAAACTCGCTCCGCCTCCGCCTCCGCCTCGCCCTTGCTCCGCTCTCCCCCGCGGAAGCGCGCGGCGCGTCTTCCGTGCGACGACCACCGCAGCCGTCGCTGGTACCACCGCCGCCGGCCTCGCCACCGCCTCTGCCTCTGCGTGCGGGCCCCGCCTCCGCCTCGGCTTCCGGGTTCCTCCCCCGCTCTCCTCCTGAAGCCCGCGGCGGCGCCTCCTGCGGCGACACCGCGGCCGTCGCACGTACCACCACCGCCGACCTCGCCTCCCCGGCTCCGCCTCTGCATCCT